CGGGGCAGCACTGGGACGCACACCGGGACGCACACCGGGACTCACACTGGGACGCACACCGGGACACACACCGGGACGCACACACACACCCCAAGGGTCAAGCCGCACACCAGCACGGCCACACTGCTCCTGGCTGAGGGCTCGGCCATGGTGACACAGTCTAACACAGTCACAACTCTCCGCTAGTCCACAAAAACATCCCAAAGGCAAAATCTGCGGCCAGGCCCCAGCGTGGCTCAGACAGGCCTCTGCCACAGCTTCCCACCCTCCGTTTGTGGCAGAGGCACCGGGAGCCCCGGCCCTGCTCAGCACGGCAGTGGGACCCGCTACAATTGGGGTGCAGGGGCTGCACCCTGCCTGGGTGGGCTCTGGTGGCTCGGTGGGTCTCCATGCCCCCCTCCCCGGGCGGTGCCGGTGCCAAACCCGCCGCCAACCGGAGCGTTCGGTCCCACGAACGCGCGGCCCTGAGTTACGGCTTTAATAAAATCAAGGAAAACAGTTTTATCTCCCGTCCCAGGGCGGCCGCCGGGCCCGGCAAAGGCTCCTGGGAGGTGTAGTCCGGCCCCACGCCGGGAGCCATTTGGGGGAGCGCGGCCGGAGCCCCGCCGAGCCCCCCGTGCCGCACCGGCATCGCCCCGCCACGGCCAACCGCGGGCTGGCTCCGTGCGCTGGGTGGGGTAATTATCAATCATCGCCGTTAATTACCGCGCCACGCTACCACGGCTGCCGGCACCGCGGCCGGGCCACGCCGGGGGGACACGGGGTGCCGGGGATGGGGACCCCCCTCCCGCCGGCACCGTGCCGGCCGTTAAATTATCCGGTTTATCCGCCCCAGCAGCGTTCCGGCCGCGCGGAGCCTCAGAGCGCAGCTCGCTGGGAAGCGCTCCGGCTGCGCCGGCCTTGCCAAAGCCGGAATATTTTTAGCTCGTTCTGTTGTTGGGTTTGGCTTCTCTGTTTTTTTTTTTTTTTTTTTTTTTCCTCTCGTGTTTTTTTTTTTAATTTTTTTTTTTTCGGCGCGTTTCTGCCGGGGTATTTTTAGCCGGATCCATGTTATTTTAACAACCTCCGGTGCATTCGGGCTCCCATGTGTCGCCCAGGCCCCGGCGGGTGTGAGGGTCCTGCACGGGGACGCGGCCGCGGCGGGAAGCCGGAGGGAAGCCGGAGGGAAGGCAGCAGCACCCCGGCGCTGGCGTCCCTCCGGGATCCCCCCTACGGTCACCGCGAGCCGGAGAGCAGCCGAACCCTCATCCCGCGGCCGGGCTCCAAACCCCCATCCGCACTCCTCACCCAACAAAGCTGGGGAAAGGCAGGGTGGCCCCCCGAGCCCGGCGGTGGTCCCGGCAGCGGGGCCGCCGGCACAAAGCGAAACCGCCCCGGCCGCGGGCCCGATCCGGCGCCGCCTCCCCGGCACCCCCCGGTGCCCCCCGCTTTCCACCTCCTTCCAAGAACCCCCACGGCTGCCACCCCCCCGCGCCGGCCCGGCCGTGCCCCCCGCCCTAATCCACGCACTAATTGTAATCCCATTAAAGCAGATATAATTTTATTAGTATTCACAGCTCATCAAGGCGGCGACAATAACCGGCGCTGCCGCCGTGCCGCGGCCAGACAACCGCCTGCGCCGGCGGGAAGCGGGAGGCCCGGAGCTGCGCCGCGCCGAGCGGCACACGGCTCCCGCTCCGGCTCCATCCATCCCGGAGCTCGGCAGCGCCGGGGGCTCCCCGCCGGCTGCGCCCTCCGAGCCCCCGTGCAGCGCAGCCCGGTACGGGCGCCGTGCAGCCCGGTTCAGCCCTGCCCGGCCGCAGCCGAGCACATGCCGCAGACAAAGCCGCGCGGGCAGCTCGCCGCGGATGCCGGATCCGGTGACCCCGCGCCGGTGCCGCTTGGCCGTGCCGAGCTCGGCCGTGTGCCGCGCTTTGTCCGGCTCCGGCAGCTGCCGCGGCGAACACGCGCCGCGAACCCCTTCGCACCCTGACACTTCGGCGCCGAATATCGAGCCCGGGCTCGGTGACCTTCCACCGCCGCCCCACGGCCCCGCGCATAACGGCCTCCTTGTTCGCCCCGAACGCGCCTCCTCGTCCCGGCTCCGCGATCTCGCCGGCGCAGCCCGGGGTCACGCTCCTCCCGCGCCGGCGGAGCGGCTGGGTGCGGGGGGATGTCCCCCGTGTGCGTGAGCCCTCACCCCAAAACCACCGGCGCGGTGACAGCGAGGTCGGCACAAAGGGAGGCCGGGCTCCCGGGGCCGTGCCGAGCTGCCGGGGCCGTACCGAGCCTCCCAGCCCTTCCCGGCCCCCCACACCGCGGGCGCCCCGACCCCTCTGACCTGTGTGCGTGGCCATGGAGATGGGCGCCGGGAAGTACTTGGTGGGCTGGAAGTGTCCGGGGGCTGCACGGCCCCGTGCGCCGACCCCGCCACGCGCCCCGTGCCGTGCCGGTGGCCCAGGCTGCCCCGCTCCGACAGCAGCCGCGGCGGGGGCGCGAAGTCACGGCCGTCCATGCCGGGGGCACCCACCCGCGGGGGGCTCGGCGGGACCCCGACACGGCTCGTGGGCGATGCTCAGCGCCGCGCCGGGCCGGCTCGGCGGGCGTCTTGCCGCGCTCCGCGCCGGGGCTGTCGGTTCATCCTCCGCTCCTGGCACGGGGAGAGAAAGGAGAGAGTGAGAGCACAGCCAGGGTGGGGGTACGGCCATCACTGCACCCCAGAGCCCCCGCGCCCCAGCACTCCGCTCCCCGTTTCCCCGGTACACAGCCCGCTTTCCCCGCGGTTCGCAGGGCCCCGCGTTCCCGGGTACCACCGGCGCACGGCCGCCGCTCTCTGCCGTCCCCGGAGCACGGCCCCCCCTTTTCCCAGTACTCCCAGTTCATGATCCCCAGTTTCCTCAGCGCACAGCCCCCCCCGCTCCATGTTCCCGGTGCTCCCGGAGCGCAGCTCCCCCGCTATCCAGTGTTCCCGGCTCCCAATCCCGGTTGCCCGGAGCCCGGGCCCGGTTCCCGCTGCTCCGACCCTTTCTGGCCGCTGCTCGGGTTCCGGTTTCCCGGCCCTCGGTTCTTTTATCACTCCCGGTTCACCGACCGTATCTCCCTGGGGCTCGGCCCCGCTCGCCCTCGACTTCCCCGCTTCCCGTTGTCTCCCCGGTGCTCAGCGCCTCCCTCGCTGCGGTTCCCCGGTTTCCTTCCTTCCCCAGCCCCGGTTCCTCGGTGTTTCCCCGTCTTCCCTCCAGCCCGGTTCCCCCAGCCCCGCTTCCCCGATATTACCCGCTGTCCCGACCCTCCTCGCCCCGGTTCTCCGGTCCGTCCCCGGCGCCCTGCCCCGGTTTCCCGGTATTTCCCCGCTCTCCCGGCCGCGGTTCCCGGTCTCTGCCGGTGCCCGGCCGCGGCTCCCGCCCGCCGGGTCATTGTTCTGGCAGCGGCGGGGCCGGGGGGCCCGATCGGGCGGGGGGAGCCGGGCACGGGCCGGGCGGCGGCGAACAAAGGGGCGCGGGGCGGCGAGCGCGGCCGGGGGCGCGGGGGGCCCGGCCGGGACCGCGGGAGCGCCGGGGCGAGCCCCGGGGGAAGGAACACGGGCCGGGAACAAAACGTGTATTTCCTTAAATAAAGCTGAGGAAAATATGTGAAAAAGGATGTTTTGCCTTTTTTTTTTTTTTTTTAATTTGAGATTAAAAAAAAAACCAAAAAACAAATGTGAAGCGAAAAAAAAATAATGGGAAATAATTGAAATGGAAAAATATTTAAAGCAAAAAATTTAAGACAAAAAGGGCTCGATGCGAAAATGTTTGAAGGCGCAAACGGTTTAATGAAGCAGCGTTTGATGAGCAAATGATTTAATGAACAAATGTTTTCACGCACAAAATTTTAATGAACAAAATTTTAAGGCGAAGCGTTTTGAAGAGACGAGTTTTAAGGGGAAAATGTTTTACTATATAGAGATGAAAGGGAAAATATGTTTTAATGGGAAAAGATGAAGGGGAAAATATTTTGGTGGAAAGAAATACAGGGGAAAATATTTCGGGGAAAAAAGATTAAGAGAAAAAAATATTTTTGTACTAAAAAGACGAACGTAGAAAATATTTTGATGCCGGAAAGATGCAAATAAATATTTAGGAGCAAACAAATAAAGCGAAAAGATAAATAATAAGGTAAAAGCGCAAAAAAAAAAAAAAAAGGGAAATCTGCAAAAAATAAATTGAAAAAAATGCAAAATAATTAGCGCCACAAAAATTTAAAACGCAATAAATCCAAGTAGGCAAAGAAAAAAAAAAACATAATGCCCAAAACACAAATAAAAATAATGCCCAAAACGCAATTAAAAAAAAATTAACGCCCAAAAACCAAAATAAATAACGCCAAAAAAAAAATTGTTAAGGCGTAAAAAAAACCCAACAAAACAAAACAAAAAAAAAAAAACCCCAACAAAAACAATAACCCCGGAGCGCCCGAAATTAAAATAACCCCCAAACAACAACAACAACAACAACAAAAAAAAACCCACCCGCGGATCGCAGTTACTTACCGGAGGGGCGTTCCGCGCGCGGGGCGAGTGCGGTCCCGTGGCGGGGGTGCGCAGCGTGCTCCTGCCGGTGCCCGTGCACTGCCCATGCACCGGCTGCTCCTGCAGCAAAGGGAACCGGGGGTGTGTGGTTGGGGGGGGTGGGGGGGGAGGGAAGGGGGGGTGGGAAAAGGCGGGGGGGGGGTGGGGGGACCCCGCCGCGCCTCCCGCTCACGCCGCGCGTTCTCCGCCGGGGCGGGCGCGCCCCGCATGCTAATGAGCGCGTGCCCCGCGCGCGCGCCCCCTCGCTGATTGGCCGCCGCGCGGCGCTCGCGCCCCGCCGGCCATTGATCCCCCCCTCCCCGCCCTCCGCCCGGCTCCATTCTTCCTCCGGCGCGCGCGCCGCGCGTCAAGAGAGCGCCGCTCCCGATTGGCCGGCGGGCCTCCGGAGCTCCCGCCAATCGGCGCGCGGCGAGCGGCGCGGAACGGCGGCGCCTAATTCAAGCCCGGCGGATGAATGGGGAGGAGGGAGCGGCGCGCATGCGCAGTGCACGCTCGGGACGGAGGGGTGGGGGGGAATCGCATCGCTGCGCGCCCCCCGCCGCAGCGCGCGGGCCCCCCCCGCGCCGCGATTGGCTGGCGGTGCGCCAGCGCGCTGTCAATCACGCAGTGTAAACAAGGCGTTGATTGGCCGGAGCCGCGGGCGGTTTCAAGGCGCCCCCTCTGAGGGGGGTGAGGGGGGGACACGCGCGGCGGGGGCGGTTTCCAGGCCCCCCCGCGCACACCCCGGTGCGGCCCGGGCCGAGCGAGCGGGATCAAAGAGCGGCGGGCGGGCACGGGCAGCGGTTCGTACCGTACCGTACCGTACCGTACCGCCGGGGCACACCGGGCAGCGCCTCCGTACCGCTCCGTACCGTACCGTACCGTACCGCCGGGGCACACCGGGCAGCGCCTCCGTACCGTACCGTACCGCCGGGGCACGGGCAGCGCCGCCGCTCCGCCGGGGTACACCGAGCACGGGCCGCGGGCAGCGCCTCCGCACCGCTCCGTACCGCACCGCCGGGGCACACCGGGCACGGAGAGAAGTGCTGGAGGCCGTGCGGCGGAAGGGAGTGGGCAACAAGGGGGTAACTGCGGGCTGCGGAGTGTGAGTGGGACAATAATGGGGTCTGTGTGATGTGGGGGGGCTGTGCGGTGTGAGCGGGACGATATGGGGGGGCCATGTAGAGAGGAAGGGGGGCTGTGGGTTCGGGGGGTGTGCAGTATTGGGGGGCGCAGTGGGGCAGTTGGAGTGGTTGGGGGCCCGGCGAGGTGGGGGCGTAATGTTGGGGGATGTGCAGTGAAATGTTGGGGGGCTGTGCAATGGAAGGAGTCATACAGAGCAATGTGTGGGGCTGTTGGGGGGCTGCGCAATGTGGGGGGCCTATGCAGAGCAATGTGTGGGGCTGTGCAGTGTTGGAGGGCTATACAGAGCAGTTTGTGGGGCTGTGCAGTGTTGGGGGGCTATACAGAGCAGTGTGTGGGGCTGTGCAATGTTGGGGGGCTATACAGAGCAGTGTGTGCGTTTTTGGGGGCCTGTGCAATGTTTGGGGGCCATGCAGAGCAGTGTGTGGGGTTGTGCAATGTTGAGGGGCCATGCAGAGCAGTGTTTGCAGTGTTGGGGGGCCATGCAGAGCAATGTGCAGGGTTGTGCAGTGTTGGGGGGCTATACAGAGCAGTGTGTGGGGCTGTGCAATGTTGGGGGGGCTATACAGAGCAGTGTGTGGGGCTGTGCAATGTTGGGGGGCTATACAGAGCAGTGTGTGGGGTTGTGCAATGTTGGGGGGCCATGCAGAGCAGTGTGTGGGGCTGTGCAATGTTGGGGGGCCATGCAGAGCAGTGTGTGGGGTTGTGCAATGTTGAGGGGCCATGCAGAGCAGTGTGTGGGGTTGTGCAATGTTGAGGGGCCATGCAGAGCAGTGTTTGGGGTTGTACAGTGTTGGGGGGCCATGCAGAGCAGTGTTTGCAGTGTTGGGGGGCCATGCAGAGCAATGTGCGGGGTTGTGCAGTGTTGGGGGGCTGTGCTCAATGCAGCTGAGGGGCTGTGTGATGTGGGGGGGCTGCTCAGGCCGAGGGGAGCCTGAACGATACCAGGGACCACACAGCAGGAACGGGAGCGGGAGCAGCACCGGGGCTACCGGCAGCGGCTGCCACCGGGATTCCTGTCGGGGCACTGCGGTGTTTGGGATTTTTTTTTTTTCCTTTTTTACAATAAAAGGGTGTAATTGATTGAAAATGCTGAAATAAATCCCGATGGCTCATAACCACGATTAGATTACGGCGGGCGATTCATTACGTGGGACGACAATTGAGTTAGTGGGGAGCGGCCGGGGGCCGCAGGGACCCTCCAGCACCGCGTGGACACAGCTGCACACGCCAGGACACACGGACACGGCACGGGGACAGACGGACAAGGACAGCCGGGAACAGGCGGCCGCACCGCGGGGCACAGCCCGGCACAGGCGCTGCTGCGGCTGCGGCACGGAGCTGTGCCTGGGGACACGCCAAGGGACACGGAAGGACACGGGATGGCACCGCACACCCAACCTCCACATCCTCCTCCGCGGCTGCCCTTGGGTCCCTGCCCACGTGGGGAAGGCCGGGAAAGGGCCCTTAGTTATGGATTATCCCAGCGTGGGGAATTGGTGCCAAACGGGAGCGTGGTGTGGACACCGGTGTGCGGGTACACGGTGTGCAGACCCCGGTGTGTGCAGACCCCGGTGTGTGCAGACCCCGGTGTGCGGGTACACGGTGTGCAGACCCCGGTGGTCTAGGAGAGCTGGGCAAGAGCTTCCTGACTGAAAAGGAAAACCAAAAAACACCTCACAAAAAGCTGCTCTCAGGCTCTTCCTTCCCGCAGTGACGCTGGCGGGAGTGGGAAGGGGCCAGGGGAAGCCCTGGTGCCACGTGGGAAGGGGTTGAGTCCAGGGGTTGTGGAGCACCAGGGTTGTGTCCCTGGGCACAGTTGGCAGATTCCCAGTGGGTAAACATCAAACCTGGGCAAGCCCCCTCCCTGGGCAGACCACCCCTCATCAGTTGGCATCCCTGTGGGCCGAGCCCCCCACCATGGGCAGAGCCCCTCCTGTGGGTACATTCCCTCTGGGCAGCCCCCGACCCCCGCTGTGGGTGTCTGAACCCTGTGGGCAGCCCCCAACCGTGGGCAGCCCCCCGCCCCGTGGGGATAACTCTGCTGTGTGAGGCCAAATGAGCACAATTAAAGTCAATTTAATGAGGATCCCCCCACATCCACCCCCCAGCCCTGCAGCTGCCTTTGTCCACTGCTGCTGCTGCTCTCACCGTGCCTGTCCCCCCCTCAGCTGGGGCTGGGCCATCCCAGAGCCCCCTGAGCGCTGTGTCCCCCTCGGAGGGCAAGAGGGGACCCTGAGAGCGGGGTGTGGTGGCAGAGGGCACGGCCTGTCCCTGCACAGGGGACATGTTTGGGGGTGCAGTGAACCCTGGCAATTTTCCCCCTTCTCAGCTGCTTTCCTGAGCTTTATCCTCCCTGGAGCTGCTGAATCCCCTCAGAAGGGACAGGAGGGTCCCCTGGCACTCCCTGGATCCCCAACCCCGCTGTGGTGTGACCCTCGGGCTGGTCCCTGTCCCCTCTGCTGTCCTTCGCGGCTCGGAACGGAACGGCACAGCACGGCTCCGGGGCCAGGCGCTTTTCCAGCTGGCCGCGGCATTCCCGGCGCGTCTCAAGGCCGTCTGCGTCCAAGGGTCGTGTTTGCCGGCGCGGAGGGACGAGGTGGCACCGCAGCGATGTCCCCTCCGCTCCCAGCCCGGGGACCTCGTGTCCTGCCCCGCGGCCGCTCGGGGGTCCGAGGAAAAAGGCAGGAACTTAACTCCCATTAACCACCCCATTGTACCGGCCGTGGGAATAATCGGGTTTGCTAATGCAATTGCTGCCGCGATGCGAAAATCCGACTGGAAAATGTATTAGAGCAATTATCCGCCTCCCTCCGCAGCCGGCGGAGCATTAATATTCAATTTTGATGTGGAAGCCCTATTATGTTAATGACTTTGGTGACAAAAGTCGTTAATGTAAGTCGGTTCCTTTATGGCGCGGCATTAGCCGGGGTGAGCGCGGCCGCGGGGCGGGATGAAACGGGGGGACACGGGGAGAGGATCCGGGATGGGGCGGGTGGGGAGCCGGGATGAGCCCCCTCCCCGCCCCGCACGGCCCTCACGCCCCGGGCCGGGGCTGCCGGTGCTCCGGGGGCTGTGCCGGGGCGGATTATCCGCGCTGCAGCGCATCCGGCAGCGCCGCTCCCTCCGCTGCAGCTGCCCTCCTTTGTTCTCTCCCGAGCCCCGGGAGATTCACCGGTGCTTCCCCGCCCGCCGGGGAAGAGAGCGCGGCGGGGCCCGGCCGGGCTGGCCGCTGTCCCGGTCACCGGGCGGCACCGGGGCTGTGCCCCTGCCCGGGCGCTCGGTGCGCTGCCGGGGGTTGGCAGCGCCGCAGGCAGGCCTGACGGATGGGGGATGGAGCCAGGGATGTGGGCTGGGGATGGGGAGCGAAAGGAGCGGAGGCAGCACCCCCCGGGCCGGCCAGCAGCCGCCACCACCGCGGCTCCCGCTCGGGGATGTCAGCCCGCGGGCGGTGTGACACCGAGCTGCGCTGTGGTGCTGTCCTGGAGCACTGGAGGGACGGGAGCGGACAAACATGGAGCTGGGAGCTGCCTGTGACGGAGAAAACGACCGTGACCTTCACCTTTCCAGCTAAGAGCTCGTCCTCCTGCCGCTGGGCTGGCAGCGCCCGGCTTGGCCATGGCACGGGCATGGGGCTGGCCTGGCGCTGGGGCCACTTGGGAATTTCTCACAGCCAAGGAAGGGACAGCAGATCCCAGGCACAACCCAGGCACAGGATGGGATTTCCCGGTGGTCCTTTCCCGTGGGAGGCTCCTGCCCGGTGCAGTGCCCTCTGTGCTGGGCACAGCCCTGTCCCAGCGCACAGATCTGCTCGTGGCTCTGTCCCAGCCCTGGGTGTCCTGTGTGCTGCAGCTCCGTCTGCATGGGGGCTGCAGCAGTCGGGATTTGCTGCCCAGAGCCCCCAGGACGATGACCCCCACCTCAGTCCCGGCAATAACGGGCGAGTGGGGCCACGGGCAGCCAAATCCCAAATAACCCTGCTGCCACCTCTGCCTGTCAGGGCCCGCCCCGACATACAACACACCCCGGACAGCTCCCGAGGTTAGCAGCCGGGGCTGGGGCCGCTCCACCGTCATCCCCCGGGGTCTACCGGAGCAGGAAGGTGCCGAGCCGTCGGTGGCATCGGGATCCGGCAGTGATAGCGTGCGGACAGGCACGCGTCCTTGGCACTGCCGGGGACGGGGCGCCCGCTGGGGACACGGCCCGGTGGCACGGGGCCCGGCACGGCCGCGCCGGGGTCCCGCGGTCCCCCCGCGGTCCCCTCGGGGTCCCCCCGCGGTCCCCTCGGGGTCCCCTCGCGGTCCCCGCGCCCCGCGGCGGCGGCTCCGCGCGCACGTGGCCGGGCCGGGCCGTGCCCCGCGCTCCGCCCCGCGCCCCCCCCGCGCTCCCATTGGCCCAGCGCCCCCCGTCCCGCGCTCCCATTGGCCCAGCGCCCCCCGTCCCGCGCTCCCATTGGCCCAGCGCCCCCCGTCCCGCGCTCCCATTGGCCCCGGAGCCCTCCACAAACAAAGGCCGGAGCCCGGCGGGGGGCCCGGCGCGCCGCTCTGATTGGCGGGGCGAAGGGGCGGGGCGGCGCGGGCAAGCCCCGCCCACAGAACAGCGCCGGATGCCCTAATATGGGTGTGGGCGGGGCGCGCCCATTCATGCCAGCGGGGAGGGGCGGGGCCAAGCGCGGCGCGCGCGGCCCGTTCCCACGGCGCGGGTGGGGCATGAATGGGCGCGCGCGGGGCACCGCACCGGAGCCGCGCGGCCCGGTAAGGTCCGGTAAGGCTCCGTACGGCCCGGTAAGGCCCGGTAAGGCACCGTGTGGCTCGGAACGGCTCGGTACAGCTCGGTGCCTGTGCTGGGCGGGGGTACGTGCAGGTGGGGAGCGCGAGTGTGACGGTGCCGGGGCTCGCGTGGGGCGGGCGCGATCGTGTCCTGAGTGTGCGTGGCTGCGCGTGCATCCCCCGTGGTTGTACCCCCGGTGCTGTGTCCACCTGCACGCCCCTCTGTGCCTTGCACACCCACGCGTGCTTTGTTCTGGGGGGCGAAGGGGGCTTCCCGGCGCTCCCCACGGCCTTGGCTCTGCATCGCTCCTGCCCAGCCCCTGGGGCAGCACCAGCGTCACAAATGCTTGGGGACCCCCATCCCAAAATCTGTGCCATGGTGAGTACCCACTGCGGTGCCCCACGCTGGCACGGGGTGACACCATGGCGGGGACACCACGGGCTCTCACCTCCCTCCAGCGTGGGCTGTGCTGTTTGTCCCACGCTGCTTTAACCCCCCAAGATCAGTTCGGCCCTTGCCTCCATCCTCCTCATCGTGCCCATAAATTCATTCCCGATCCCGTTCCCAACCTGCCAGGCCCTCGCGGGACATTCGGCAGCTCCCAGCCTGTGCTGGAGATATGGACTGAACTTTGGTCCCTGAGCAATTAAGGTGCCTGAAACTGCACTTCATTAATGGTTGTTCCGCAATAAAACCCATCAAACTGCCCTTATTTGCAATATAAAACTGCAATTTGTTTTAATTTATGTTTTTCAATCCCTGCCGGGTGGTTCCGGGGATCTGCCAGGCATCTGTCACTGGAACCAGCAATCAGGAGCAGGGTGGCCCCGAGTGCTGGGTGGGGTGTGGGTGGGCTTGCCCCAGGCCTGGAGAGGGGGTTCCCATTCCTCCCCATTCCCCCAAGAAGGGAGGGCAGGGATGCTCCCATGGCTCCAGGGAAGAGCATCCTCATGCCATGGGAGGTTCATGAGAGCCCCCTGGCCACGGAGCTGCCACTGAGGTGAATTCCTGAACAAGAGTGGGGTGGTTTCAGCTGTTTTCCTGGGACAGCATCACCCGTGGGAGCTGGGAATCTGCCTCAGCTCAGCTCAGCTCAGCTCAGCACACGTGTGCACATCCCTGCGGAGCAGCATCGGACCCAGCAGCGGCCCCTGGACATCCCCAGCGATTTGTACTTCCCTGAAGCAGCACAGAATCCCTGCGGGCTCAGCCAGCCCCGAGCCCCCATTTCTAATTACACTCACTGTGGCTCTGCCATCCTCTGGGGCTGGTTGTTCTCCGTGGCTCCAGATCCGGCGGGAGGAATCTGGGCCACGGGGCAGGGCTGGGGAGGGCTCTGAGCCACCTGCGATTCCCGGTGGATCCTGCTGCTGGCTCCCAAACCCCCCAGGGCCCTCAGCCGCTCCCAGTGTCCCCTGCCCGGCTGTTCGGAGTGGTTGGAGCTTTCCAGAGAGTTCTCCTTGCTCTCAGCAGGTGCTGAGGTGATGGGAACCTGCCCTGGCGCTGCTGGGACGGAGCCCGGCTCCTGCTGGAGGCAGAATTTGGGATGTTCAGAGCTGCTGAGCAGCTGATGAAACCTGAGGAGCTGCAGGCAAACCCCATTATTCCCTGGAGATGGGCACGGATGAGCCCCGGGGCTGTGGCACAGGAGGGTGGCAGAGCAGGGGCAGCTCCCTTGGTGTCCTCATCCCGTGCCACCGCGACTCCTGGCTGGCTCTGCACATCTCCCAAGCCCCCGGCTCCCACTCGGACACCGAGAAGCCACCAGAGCCCTTTCCCTGACCACATTCCTGAGTGGATCCTTCATCCCAGCCCGAGGACACACACGGACACAGCCACCGCAGGGAAAGCAGCCGGAGCCACCGATGCCACGGCGCACCTGGAGGGAATTAGGCCGCCTGTTCACCTCCCTGCAAACCTTTTGTACAGCGAATTCCTGCGGTTTCCCATCGCAATTGCTGCAAATTATACGAGCGCCGCGTTCCGTTCCGTGCCCTTGGCGAGTGCCACTCGGAGCTGCCGCCACGCCTGCCCTCGGGGGACCCTTCCAGAGCCCCCCCACGTCTTTCCTTCCTTTTCCCTTATCCCGTGGGATGTGGGGGGCACGGAGCTGGGGATGGCTCCGGGCTGCAGATGTGTGCGCACAGCTGGACGCGCGCCCAGATGTGCACGGGGGAGGGGATGCCGGGGGTGATGGGCTCCCTCCAGGCGTGTGCACACACGCTTTGCGTGGATGTGTGTCCCGGGGCGCTCCCGCCGCTCCCCGGCCCCGCTCAGCCCTCCGGGGGCGCCCCCAGCCATGGGGACCCCCTTGGTCCTCCAGCACCACCGAGTCCGGTCCTCCGGGGCGGCAGGAGCGGCCCCGCTCCGCCGCGCGCCTACGTCACTTCCTGCGGCGCGGCGGAAGCCGGAAGTGCCGCTGTGGCCGGTGCCGGGTCGGGGCGTGCCCGGTGGGGCCATGGCGGGCACGGCCGGCTGAGGGGGACCGGGGCCACCGGGCGCTCCGAGCCGGCCGTGGGGCTCGGGGAGCGGCCACAAACCGGGTCCCCCGTTGCGGGGATCCTCCGCCGCGGGCCATGGCGGCGGCGGCGGCGGGTTCCAACTGGGGCCTGATCATGAACGTGGTGAACAGCATCGTGGGGGTGAGCGTGCTCACCGTGCCCTTCTGCTTCCGACAGGTGAGGGCTGCCCGCCGGGTCCCAGCGGGGTGCTGCCGGTGTCCCCCGGGCTGGGGCGGGGGTGCCGGTCCGTGCCCGTGGCAGCCTAAAGCCCCCGCGAGCTCCTCCGCGGCCGCGCCGAATTCTGGCCCGAATTTGGGGGGTGGGTCCCTGGTCGGAGAGGAAACTCAGCAAAGGAATCGCTTCAGACCCAGACCGGACATCTCGAGTTCCAAACGCTGCTTTTCTCCCAGCCGTGGAGTCTCCAACTCAAAACTCGTGCTCCAAACTCGGGGTTTTTTCCCTGTGGTCTCTGACGGCTTCTGCGTGTCTTGTGAGGAGAAGGGAGAAATTAAATTATCATTAAATATGATAAACAGAACTCAGAAGCTTTTCCAAACCCAGCTGTGCCCCTGCACCCCTGCCTGGCATCTGGGGCTGTGCCAAGGCAGCTGCGGGGTGCCCGTGGTTGCCAGCCCTGCACACGGGGAAGGCAGCGGGGCAGGGGCTGGCTGAGGAGGGCGTGATGCCAGCTGCCTGTTGGTAAATAAGTTTGCAGCAGAGGTGGCACCTCGGGCTCTGTCTGTGCCCCCTGCAGGGATGAGCCGGGATGGGAATTCTGCTCCCAGTTGGCTGCTCAGGGCTTGGACTGGTGCAGCTGTGGGAAGCTGTGCGTGTTCCAGGTGTCCTTGAGCCATGGAGAGGTGATGTGGAGCTGCTAGGAAGGGGACAGAACTTCCTGAAAGAGGGAAAAGCATGGCTGGAACACGGGAAGGAGCTGAGGGTGCTGAGGGAGGGTGGCTGGGCTGTGCTGGGGGGCTGACCCCCCATCTCCTGCTTTGCTCTGCAGTGTGGGATCCTCCTGGGAGCTGTGCTGCTGATCTTCTGCTCCTGGATGACGCACCAGTCCTGCATGTTCCTGGTGAAGTCGGCCAACCTCAGCAAGCGCAGGACCTACCCTGGCCTCGGTGAGACCCCAGCCCCGGGGCTGCTCCCCGGCCCTCCTGCTCTGCTGACAGCACCGTGGCCTTCCTTGGCCTCCCCGTTTGCCTTTCCTCCGAGGTGCTGCTGGAACAACAGATGTTTCCTTGCTGCAGTTCCCAGTTTGCTCTGCCCCGGGGCGGTGCTGGGGTGGATCCTGCTCCCACAGCCCTGTTAATGGGCACTGAGTTGTTTTGACTCCGCGGGGCAGGGGAGGAGATGATCCAAACCCCAGCTCCCGGGAGCCATCTGGGATCAATTGTGGGGCTGGGATGAATTAATTATAGGTCTGGGCACGAGTTCCCCACCCAGCGCTGCCGGGACAGCGGGTCCTGCCAGCCTGGCACGGAGCTGGGCTGCCTGGATCTGAGCTGGGAGCTCCTCTATGGCTCAGCAGAGAGGAAACAGAGCGAGCTTCCAGCGGGCTGAGAAAATAAAAACATCTGGAAGATCCCTGGGTGGGTTTTGGCAGAGCCAAAAACCTCGGAGCTCAGTGCTGGCGCCGGGATTGGCGTCTGCTCGTGGCCTCTCCTGGGATTCTGACTGCCCTGGGGAGGAGGAGGAGGTGTTTGGGTTCCAGTCCTTGCTGTTGGCATATGGAGCATCAGGAAAAACCTCCTTTTCCTCGCTCTGCCTTGCTGTTCTGTGGGAGGAGGGAGCTGCGTGGCGCTGCCCAGCAGCTGCTGACAGATGGGTTTGCTCCTCCCTCAGAGCGTCCCAGGTGCTGCTCCCAGGAAGCACATCCCGGCTCCTGCCGCCTTGTCTCTGCTGGGAACAGAAAACGTGGAGAAGCTCCGTGCTCTGGGAGGTTGTTTTGGTGCCAGGGGAAGGGGGAGCCCCCG